TTACATACGTAACCCGAGACGTTTCTGTTCATGTCTGTGTCTTGTTTGCCACTCAAACTGAAATTGGAAAAACTGAATTAAGATGAAGGTACTTCAGAATTTGTCCGTGAAACTACACCAGACGTGTCTGAATAGTGGTGTTCTTTAAACAAGATTTTCAATAAAGTTTGTGTGTGCACGCGTGCATGCATGCATGTATGTGGATGTCTCTGATAATAGAGGAACTTTCGGTGTCCTTTTCATGACAAATGAGTACCACTGTGCACAAACAACTGGGATAAATAATAATGCAATATAAATAATGCGTAAGCAGCAGTATTCATTGTTACACCGGACACATGAGCCTGCAAACACACAAATAAATAATTTTATGTATAAGCAAGCACATAAACATGATCAATAATTGAATATATAACAAAGACGGAAGGTCTGCAGGTATAGGTAGCACATGGGAAGTTGACACGGAAGTTAGCTTGGACATTCAACATCAAGATGAGTCTGAATATGTTTTGTTTTATTTATTTATTTGTTTGTTTTTTTGCCAGCCTAATTTGTGGGAGGGACATTCTCTTGACTAGAGTGCTTTTGATTAGACAAAAACTGTGTGGTGCATGAGTCAACAATATTTTTGCTGTGTTTTAAGAAAGACTGTAGATTTTAAAAAGTGTGTTTCTGCATAATTCAGCTTTTAGGAGTATGCTAGAGTGAATATGACCTTAAAGCTAACAGACATGGACTAAAACATGGGCCCTTTTTACCATTGTAATCACCTTTTTACAGTTTATTGTAATTATTTTTAATGCATAATAATTTTCAAAATATTTTAATATGGAATATTAATAGCATGTCACACTGAAGGACAGTGCGGTCACTAGTATAATGTCATATATCCTTATGCATATCTATATGTATGTATATAATGCATACAATATATGCACACACAAAACAAGACACACCAAATTGGTTAATTATTCTCCAGGTGCACAGTGAGTGCATAACTTTTTCTAAATGAGTTTAAGGTCTTGGATACCATCAGAATGTGTGGTGTCAAATCCCATTGCAGTGTGTGTATGTACGGTGTATGAACTCCCATAAATACAAGCATGACAAACATGTTCTTACTTTATGCCAGGATAATCGGATGAGTTGCATACATATCTGCACCATCACAATCAACACACATACACATGCACAGACACCCCAAGGCTGATGAAATGTCAGGGAGGCGTGAATCACTCTGTAAGAGATGGAGTGCAAGTAATTTTGGTGACTTTATCTGCCAGTCACAGGATAAAAATGTACACATACAGTAGACACACAGATTTATAGAACGGACAAATGGACATTCACAATACAAATGTGATAGTCACGCACCGAGACAGAAAGTCACAAGCTCTGTTACACAGACAATATGGAAATGGAACGTGATGGAACATGCAATCTTTGGTTAGTCACCCTGCGTCTCTTTTCAAATTATCACCACACACTTATAATACATGAATATTCTTATTTAAGATGGCAGATATATCTTACTGTAGTGTCAAACAATCGAGCATGTTGCTCACAACACCGATGTCATGGGTTTGATTCACAGGGAATGCATGGACTGATTATAATGAGTCACGTTGCATAAAAGCATCTATCAAATGCATACATTTAAAAAAAGTTTTGATATAGTATTTCATAATTGACTATGAATTGTGACCAACCTTAAGAAGATCTGATTTTTAAGGTACAGGATCAGGATGGTTGAGACTGGATCTGTTGTAGTCACAAATGTGCATGTTAATGAATGCATTTACTTAAGCTAGATACACATGCAAAGGGTGCACATGTTTACTGAGCTGATATAACGTGGGCCTCGCTATCTCATTTCATGTCCCATTTCTCCAGTTGATGTAATTGAAATTCCAGTCTTCCCAACAGAAACCCACTATAGAAGATTGTTTGTTACAAGTAACAGGCTTCTGCATTTGTTGTGGTAACTGCATTTTTAACTGGGCTATTTGGAAGGAAGGAAGTAACCCAAAACTCAAGATTTGTAAACTTTGATTTACAAAAACCCACTTTGATTTACCACAAATCTAAATATTGAAAAAGCAACACATCCTTCTTCATGCCTGTGGTGGTTATGGCCCTGGATGGATGGTTTATTAGCTGTAAAAGTGTCTGAAATGTGACAGCAACCAGGGGTCTTAAAAGAGAGTATAGGAAAGCGTAAATCAGTCCCACTGTCTTATTGTCAGGCAGAATCATGACCCTGTCTACAGGGACCGAAAGAACCGTTGATCTTCGTCGTGAAGCCGATCACAGAGATGAACGAGTGTGCAGATGCACGGATTAGAAAATGCATTATAGATCACAAAGTTATTTGTTGTTGTGAGCAGCAGCTGCTGTGTCTAACTGATCGATGGAGATCTTACAATACACAACCTCTGCTTAGCTCTTTCATGTTTGGAGTGCTGGTTGTTGAGCTTTATTCTATCGCCCCCATGTGACAGCAGCTGGAACTGCATAAGTAATAACAGGAAAATGGTTGAAAAGCCAGCCTGTAATATTTGTTTATTTATTTATTTATTTTACACATCATTTTGCACCTGTACTTGCTTAAATAATGTTAAAGTCCATTCTGATTTCTTCTAGTTATTCCATTTTGTCCTTTTAGATATGTCTAGATTAGCACTGGGCAACTTGTTCCTCATGTTCCGGTGAAGATTGTAGGGTTCCCAGCCATCTTTTGATGTATAACTCTACTAACCAAGCTATACACCTCCACCTTCAGACTGTGTGAATGAACTGGTATGTGCAGACATGCTCCTTCCTGTTGTAATGACATTATGCCCATCTCTGGAGCTGGCCTCCTCTTGATGTTGTTGTACTGGGCAGTTGTCCAACGATGGCAGGGATGTATGTTCACTCAAGTGTGTTTGCGTGTGTGTCTTACTCTGTTGGGCCAGTGCCATGATCTTGGCACTCAGTCCTGGTTCACCAGCTTCAACTTATTCACAAAGACATTTGAGCTGTGTTGCTTGCGATATGGGACCCCTGGTGGTGCCAACGCGCACACACTAGGGGTTGAACGACTTCTGATTTTTTAAAGTCGAGTCGAAGTCGACTAGTCACTGATGACATCATTAATGAACAAATAAGTCTGGAGCTGTGACAAACACCTTGTGCACAGCTATGGCATATGACACAGCTGGCCACATGGCTATTGCTCCTATAACAGCTCATTTTTATCAGTTCTTTTGTCTTTGGGTCGTTATATTTCTCACAGATTTCTGCACGTTCTAAATCAGATACAGATAAAGTAGCACAGTAAAGATTACATTCATATGAATGCATTAGTGAGAGCAATTGTGTGTGTGGATTAATTCTACCTGGCAGCGTCTCTCTACTAGTAGTGAAGCTGTGGGATTTAGTTAAGAAATATATGCTTTTCAGTTTCTAAGCTTTTCAGTTTCTAAGCTATTTTATTGAGAAATCACAGAACAGTGTTGACAATACATTTCTGTGCTGAATGATTCTGTGTGCTCGCGATCTGCACGTGATGTACGAGCTACTGTCTGTAGCCTATGTGTGTGCATTAAAGTGCAGCAGCGCATTCGATTAGAATGGCGATTAACTTACCTGTACAATAAGCTGTTTAAAACATGCATTCTCCTGTTCAATTTCGAGCATCCAGTAATATAATCACACGACTTGTGGAGCTCTTTCAGAGTATGCATTTATATGTAATTTTAACTGTTTGGAAACGGAGCGTAAATGTGGAAGTCCTTCAAAGATTTCTTATCCTGTTGCACCCTCTATAGGACCAACGACTAGTCAACGTCAAGCTTAAAGCGTCATGGCAGAGCACTGAAGTTGACTAGTCAATTAGTCGGTGCAACCCCTAGCACACACACACACATACTGGTGCTGACTATAACACACAAGCATAACTCGCATTGATATGATTGTGTGGGTGAAGTAGCATTTTCTTCCTCAGCCATCTCTGTTTTCTTTCTTACTGTATTCTCATCTTCTCGGGGAGGCTCAGTAAGCGGCTGAGGAGTAATGCAATCATCCTAGTGGAATGGATCAATCATTCTGCTCCTAGATCCCTTCAAATGGCAACAACTTATCCACACACACAAACACTGTGAGTTGGGTTTTGCATGTCTACTGTTATTTCATTGACTGGTCTCTTTCTACAACAGTAGACTCTGTGAATTGAGACTTGTTCATTGATCAAAATCCTCACAGTGTGACACAAGAACACATTTTCTGCTTTCAGCATTATATTTCCTGTCATGTACAATTTACGGCCCACTATACACCAAGACCTTCTAAGCACACATTTCTGAGAAAAAAATCTACTCATGAATTTTGAATTTAAAATATAGACATTTGTTAGAACTTAAGTGGTTTCATCAGAAGTTTTCATCAGTGTTTCCTGTACCCTACAATGAGCGTAGTGTGAGGCGTTTTGTCCGATTTGCAACCATTTGACTTGTAAGGTTCTTTGTAATGAGTCAAACAAAATGATTCACAAAACTGTCTCGATCTCACCTTGTGAGTTAGCAGTTTGAATTAGGCTCAATCAATGAATTGTTCATAGCCATTATCGAGTTTACAACTGACTCATTGAACAGTGAGTCAGACTTTGGTTATATCCAATTCAAAGTGAACAAGGAACCATAACTATGATATTTTAGGTTTGTTTATTTACTCACTGGATGTTCATATGGTAGTGTATGATGAAATGTGGAATAGATGTTTACAACAGATATTTGGTGTAAAAATGAATAATGATATTCCAAAAACTTTAAAATATTTATATATTTATGTATATTTATATATAATGAAGTAAAGTCATATTTTTTTAGCAATTCTGTAATTTGACAACTTCTGTTTTTAGTCTGATTTCCTGTAAAACAACATAATAGAAATATTTTCTTCAACAATAGCAGAGATAAAGGCAAATAGATTTATTTAATTTGGTAGAATTGGTCATACAGTTTTCTTGTAGCTTTACAAAAGTTGTTTCTACTGTAGTAGTCCATATACAATTATATTATTCAGTGTATCGTATACAGAAATATCACTGTAGTGTATGTGAGATGTTTTAGAAAACCTATTGGTTAGACAAGACCCTACACCCTACAAATACCCTACATAGCCATTATTCAGTTTGTACATGTACAGTCATGTCTGCATAACAGGATTTCAAATATCTCAGCCAGAAGAGAGTGAAACAGGTTATGTCAAAATCCCTGGCTGAGCCAATTCTTGAGTCACACCTCAGTGGAATCACTTATGACGTATGTGACATTGGCGTGTATAAAGATATAGCAGTGCAAATTGAATAAGTGGAAGAGGAAAGCTGGCCAAGGTCCTAAATCACCAGTGAAATGCATGTAATTTATGTTATGTCACGTTAAGTCATTCACAGCTTTGGAAAATGAATAATGTGTTGAAATGACAGTGTTACGTCTCTTTGTCGGGTGGACTGAGGCAGAGACATTTGAGATATTGTATTTAATTTTGGATATATGACAGCAGTAGCTCTCAACTGGTTTTGCTTCAGTTGCATTTTATTATTTGCATTTAGGATTGTTCTCTCTCTGCTGTCAATCAGAACACACTTGCAACCCATTGACCCACCAGCTGAGAACTACTGTACTAGGTACTACATGAATGAACAGATACTGTATTGCCTACACACACATGCACAGAGAAAAAGGATAATGGTCAGTGATCAGCAGGAACCACTTCTAAGATGATCTGTAGTGATCTGTTCACAGAATCTGAGAAACACAGGGGAAACAAACATTAATTAGCCAGCATGCCAACTAATTAGCATATGGTTTATGATATTATCATATTCTGTACGATATGATATGGAATATATTCCATATATTCCATAATTTGTGCATAATGAGTATATTTTTTTATTCATTTCCGGAGAATATTTTTCCAAGAGTTTAACACCTTGGTCATATAATGTCGGGTATCATTATAAGAATCATTAATGAGTATCTAGAGAAAAATTGACTTTCGCACATATTCAGAAGTTTTATGCTTTTGCCATTTGCATTTTTGTAACCTCTGACCTGACAATTTCTGGAACCATTTGGGTTTTCTTTCGCAGTGGATGAATATGTAGTACGCAGGGATGCCTGTGAGAGAGATGGCGAAGCCAATACCAGTATTAACTGGATCCGAATATAGAGAAAGGAAGACCATGAAGAAACAGGTGAAGGAGAACACAGCAGGGATGAAAATAGGGACCTGAGAAAGAGAAAAACACAAAGATAAAGAGGGACTATATTAAAACTTTGTTCTTTGGACTTTGGAAAGAGTGTGTTTTCCAGTTTAGACTGTATGTATTTGTGTTCCTCATAAATCATGTGACTACAAAAGACTTGGAATATAGTGAGTGGACCATTTTCTAAGCACTTTTATAGTGCTTGTGTGTCCTTTTTGAAGCTTGAATTGCCCTTTCATTGTGAACCGTACAGTTGTTTTGCAGAAGAAGAGCTGGAATGTTATGTGTGAATTTTCATTTCCTTTAAATATCATATTTGGCCCACTGTCGTATCATGAATTAATTTCCATGTTTACACACAGCCTCTTCTACTTTGATCAGCTAAACTTTTTCGTAATGACAAATCAAATGCTTAGCCTAGATAAAACTACAGGAAAAAATGGTACTCAATGCATCAAAAATGTCAGCTCAGTTTGTTCATGGTGACTTTACAGTATATTGGGCACTTTTCATCCAAAATAACCACCAGTTGACCAATCCCAGAGAAATTCCCTCTGGAGCAACCTAATATTAAGTGGACGCAATAACAAAGTGACAGAGTACAACTGAGATCTCAATAGCTCTCCAACTCTTGGCTCACCTCTGCTAACCTACAACTTAGAATTAAATCTACTGTGTTTTCCCAACCACTAGATCCTTAACCATTATATTACATTAGAGATGTATGAGATATGAGATAATGGGCTGCCAGCATAGAAAAGCAGGTGACCTTAAATGGTCGCGGCATATCAGGGCGTGTGTAGCGCATGTAGATGAGGCCGATGACAGCAACCCCGATGAACAACCAGCGCAGGAAGCTCATGAAGTTCAGCAGGCTGTAGATGTCCCCTAAGAAGAGGATCAGTAGTGTGATTGGATACTGAAAGAAAGATAAGAACTTTTAGAAAGTCATAGAAATAGGTATGTAGGCATGAAAAATACAAGGCAAGGCAAGTTTATTTATATAGCACATTTCATACACAATGGTAATTCAAAGTGCTTTACATAATAGACATGAAAAAATAATAAACAAATACTCACAACAATAAAACAAGGAATTTAAAACTTTGAAAATGATTTAAAAATTGATTTAAGAGGTTTAAAATGAATTTAAAACAGTTAAGAATAGAAAATGATTATACATAAAATATAGTGCAATCAGTTCCGACATTGCACAGTGAATTCAGTAAATGCACAGCTAAACAGATGAGTTTTGAGTCTGCATTTAAATGTGACTAATATTTTAGCACATCTGATCTCTTCTGGGAGCTGATTCCAACTGCGGGCGGCATAATAACTAAAAGCGGACTCCCCTTGTTTTTTGTGAACCCTTGATATTTCTAACTGACTCGACCCTAATGATCTGAGTGGTCTGTTAGGTTTATAATCAGTGAACATATCTGCTATGTATTTAGGTCCTAGGCCATTGAGTGATTTATAAACAAGTAAAAGTACTTTAAAATCAATCCTAAATATAACTGGAAGCCAGTGTAAGGACCTGAGGACTGGTATGATATGTTCAGATTTTCTGGTTCAAGTCAGAATTCTGGCAGCAGCATTCTGGATGAGCTGCAGCTGTCTAATGGTCTTCTTGGGAAGGCCGGTGAGGAGACCATTACAATAGTCCACCCTGCTGGTGATAAAGGCATGAACAAGTTTCTCCAAGTCTTGGCTGGAAACAAAACATCTAATTCTTGCAATGTTTTTTAGATGATAGTATGCTGATTTAGTTACTGTTTTGACATGACTACTGAAACTAAGGTCTGTCTCCAGAATCACACCAAGATTCCTGACTTGATTTTTAGTTGTCAAAACCCTAGAGTCAAGGTATGCATTCACCTTGAGAACTTCATCTGTCTTTCCAAATGCAATGACTTCAGTTTTTTCCTTGTTTAACTGAAGAAAGTCCTGGCACTGAGATCTAGTAGTACCAGCACTGATATTTTGCCAGAATCAGAATTTAAGCGAATATCATTTATTATCTTAATGAGCGCTGTCTCTGTGCTGTGATGTGGTCGGAAACCAGACTGAAAATTGTCCAGGTATCCATTTGAGTTTAAGTATTTGTTCAGCTGATTAAAGACTATCTTTTCAATAATCTTGCCTATAAAAGAAATATTTGATATTGGTCTATAGTTGCTCAATATGGTGTTATCAAGATTGCTCTTTTTCAGAAGGGGTTTAACAACTGCAGTTTTCAGGGAGTTTGGAAACGTCCCAGAAGGAAGTGAGGCGTTCACCACTTGCAAGAGATCTGCTTCCAAACAGTTAAGCACCCTTTTGAAAAAATATGTGGGAAGTGTGTCAAGATAGCAGGTTGACGTACTATTTCTTCCAAAATTTTGCTATCAATTTCTTCAAAGGCAGACATAGTATCTTCTTTTTGGTATTGTGGTCGAAACTGTCTGGCCTCTGCATAATTTGGGGATGTGCTAATCGCCTTCCTGATATTATTGATCTTCTCAGAAAAGAAGGAAGCAAACTCATTGCATTTGCTGTCGGAGAGCATTTCACTGACAATCTGACTTGGGGGGGGTTTGTCAGTCTCTCAACAGTAGCAAAAAGAATAGTTACTGTTTATACGGTTTGAGAAGAATGACTGTCTAGCTTTGCCTAGTTCCACATTGAAAGCACGAAGGCTGTCTTTATAGATGCTATAGTCAATTTAAAGTTTCGTCTTCCGCCACATCCGCTCAGCTTTTCTGCATTGTCTTTTCATACTCTTAACTGCTGTTGATTTTCTCCAAGCTGATTTCTGTCTGCCAGACTTCTTACTGACTTTTATAGGAGCAATATCATCAATAATATTCTTAACTTTTGAGTTAAAGGAATCAAGGAGAAGATCAACAGAGTCTGCAGAAATGCTTGGTGTTAAAGAAATAGCCTCCATAAATAGCACACTAGTGTTTTCGTTAATGCATCTCTTTCTGACAGAGACAGATATATGCTGAATCAGGTCAAAAGTGTTTAAAAAGGTTATCATTTCTTTTGTAGTTTTCTTTTCTGCATTATCTATGTGAATATTAAAATCCCCTGCAATAGCAAAACAGTCAAACTCTGAGGAAATTATTGATAGAATTTCTGTGAACTCTTCAACAAAGGCTGGAGAGTATTTTTGAGGCCTGTAAATAATGATAAACAGAATGTGTGGAGAAGTGGAGATGCTGGAGAGAGGGATAATGTGTCTGGTGAGATGGGCTGTGGCTCTGGTGTTTCTGGTGGCTGAAATATGTTGTCCTGGCTTCCCTGGCTGTTTTCCAGAAAGTCGTCCTTGGGTGCTGAGTCTTGGAGCTGTTCTGATACGTCACAGTCTGTCTGTGATGAGCTCTATGGGCAGGGCTCAGCCGGGATAGTTTCTATGAGCAGTGCTTGTTGTGGCTGCATGGTATTATCAGTGTCCTTGTGGGATGTGTCAACCACATGATGACTCGGAAGCTGATATGAAGTCCTGTCGTCACTCATACTCTGTCCAGGTGTGTGTGTGCCATTCAGGTTAAATAGTTTGGCACACAATACTGAAGGATGACGGAGGGAGAAGTAGATATTGTCCTTTAGCACGCTTGCACCAATTTTGTTTGGGTGGAGGCCATCCAGTTTAAACAGTTGTCTATGACCCCAGAAAAAGATTGAAGTTGTCGATGAAATTGACTCCTTTTAAGCTGCAGATTCTTTGTAGCCATGTGTTCAGCCCAAGCAACCATGAAAACATATTAATTCCCCTTGCTGGGAGTGGTCCACTGATGAATGACTGAACTTCATGTCTTTGAAGTGTTTCAAAGAGTTCACTGATGTCCTTCTTAAGGAGTTCTGACTGCTCTTTCCGAATATCATTCTTCCCCCACATGGATGATGATTCGATTTCTAAGTCTTGAGCTTCATTAGAATTTTCCGAAGTTCCTTGTTAACATCAGAAACAGTTGCTTGAGGAAGGCAATATGTTGTATTTCTGCTACTGATGTTTCTGATGATAGAGTCACCCACTATCAGAATCCTGGGCTCGGCTGCGCTCTGAGCTGAATGCTCAACCTCGAGTGCCTGTTAGTAGCGATGTTAGCTGCTGGCTGATCCGATCCATGTTTAATCACATTTGTGGATTACTCACCCGCATTCATTAATACTTCAAATCTGTTCTCAAGATGTATAGGGGGTGGTAGAATACCAGTATTCACAAGTCTTGTCATAGCCGTATCTGGGGTAGAGGATGCTACGGCAGCAATACGAGAAACTCATGACAATCTGATGTCTCTACTGCCTTTGGGTCTCGCTCCCTGTTTGTGCCATTGATTAGTGTGACAATCAGTTTCGGCTTGTTCCTCTACACTTGGTATAACTGTTGAGATTGACTAGATTCATGGGACTCACCGGCTGTATGCTGAGGGGTCTGTGACGACGGTCTGCTGAGTGTTCTGCCTGTTTTGGAAGTCCAGCAAGTAACTTTGTTTCAAGAACCGCAATCCTTTGTAGAAGTTTGTGGCAGTTTATGCAGCAAGTAGATTCAACAGGAGGCATTTTCTTTCTCTTCTGTTTGAATATAGACAGCTGTGTTTTCCAGTCTCCGGAATGTAAGCTGCTGACAGTGGGAGGCAAACTCTTCTTTTTCGTGGTATTATTCCAGTTCCAAAGAGCTTTTAGTTTTAGTGTTTGTGCCAAAAATGTGTTGTTTGAGGACTGTGCTGATCTGCTGAAGTAAATCTTACAGTACCAAAAAGTACAGAAATAGGAAGCAAAGCGCAGAGCATTAAGCAAGAACATCCGAACGGTAGCGAAGCCGGAAGCTATACATGCTGACAAAAATGTTCTCTGAAGGGGTCCTGTAAAATGAAAGTTTTTCTGTTCATTTATAAAGATCTTCTGAGCCTTTTGACAGTGAGAACATATTTATTTTTAAACTTTCAAATGTGTATATAGGTGTATATTTATGTTTTTTATCATCACTGAACATTGATACTTGAAATGCTCAATATGTGGAAAGAAAGGATGCTGCAAATTGTTTTGTTCAGCTGTACAGGAGTATCAGTACAGGTGACCATTGAGTGGGACATGTGTGCATCAGTGACTCACCAGGACAATCACAGCAGGTAATGGCGTGTGTCGGCGAATGTGAATCATAGAGAGAACTTCAGGAAGCTGACCTTCTCGAGAGGCAACAAAGAACATTCTGTGGAAGAGAGACACAATTTTAAAACGTGTTAAAACATCCACTGTAGAAATACAAACCAAGACCTACAAAATGTCGATATTCTGGAACTTTGAAGGATAGGCCTATTCTTTGAAACTAAAGACTTGAAAGATGCTCAAAAACTACATTCAATTAAATGATTGCTTTTTCATAATCTAAGTGTAATTGTCAACACACTCTTTTAGTAATTTGCAAGTTTTCTCATAAGATCAGGTTGGTACTTTCACACTAAACAGATATCCCAAAAATCATTACAATTGTTTCCTGATTTCCCTAAAACCTTAATCACTCTATTTTAAAATAAAAATCTGAAAATCTGAGACTCAAAACTGAGATGCACACCTTGAGATAGCAAATAGGCATCCATTCATGGACCCAAAGCAAGACAGAGCCACAAAAACCGGAACTGCAAATGAAACGTTTCCCATCAGCTTCTCTGCAAAAGTCTGTTGGGGAGGGAAAGATGAATGGATGGAGAGGGAAGAGATGAAAAGAGAGTGGATGGAGGTGAGAAAGAGGAACTCGTTTTGTGAAACAAAATATGAAAGCAACATTGATCTTCAATTTTTAGACTTGTTGGTGTTTATGAATAATCAGTGCAGTAAGGCTTCATATTTTATATTTTATATTTACGTACGTCTAACAAGATGAAAAAGCTTTTAGAGTATTTCAGAGCCTAGCAGGAAATCTCTGCACACAGATTCTGGTGCTATCAGTTATTTGTGAGAGATATATGATTCCCCTTCAGGAACTCGAGCTGCGTCGAAGTCGCTTTGGGAACGCCCTTGCGTGACCGCGTTCTGAAGCACGTGTCAAATCCGTCCAATGGAGCAGTGAGACGTCACCAGCAGGGTGACGCAAGCACCAGAAAGCATAAAAGCGCATCCAGCAGAGCGCAAACCAGCTTCTGCTCTTCAGTAGCACTCTGTGTATGTGTCTGTCTATTTACTGTTGTCTGTCTGCACAAGCACTCATATATATAAAACAATGAGAAAGTCTATGGCGAGCGAACGGCATTACAAACGCTGTGTTTCTCCCTGACCACGATATCTGGTGGCGGGGGATACACACGATTTGTGTGTCGTTTGTTTAGGAGCGGAGCATGCACGGTCAGCTTTCGAGCAGCTGATTGTCATCACTGCGAGCTCTCGCTGCGTATGCTCCGCTCTCGCCTGGCTGTGTTTGATGAGAGCGGCCAGGCTCGC